ATCTTCATCAGTAACTTTTTCACCACATAATATTAATTAAAAAGTAATTCTGAATATGGCTGAATTATATTCATTGATAGATTTAAAATCTTATAGCCGTAAGTGAAACCAATCATATCGAATTTTTTGGAGAATGACCAATTTCATGTGATCGAATCTTTCTTTCAAATTTTTTCAAAGGATAAGAGGATCTTTGACAGTAAGATATTCTATTTTTAATCTTTCATGTAAATGATGACGAAGAAAAATTATAGTTTTGGCACGGTCTTGATTTGAGACTTCATTCTTTTCAACAATAGTATTACCAGTACCTATTGCCTCAAGATGAATTTCAACATTCAATATTCATGATAAATAATTTTTTTCAGAAATATCAAGAGGTACGAACTCTTATTTTATAAGATTAGTCATAAAAAATTGAAAATAATTTGTGGGTTAGAAATTTACTTCAATAGGTAGATAGAAGTTGCTCGAGGAAACACTGGCAGAATCTCGGCAGAGTCTCGTGTTTCGTTTTTATTCAAAGTAGAGGCTCCATTTTCATCTTTTACTCAAAAGTTGAGACTCGTATTGATAACTTGTTATAAAAATAATAAAATAAATTAATATAATAGGGATTGAAATATTAAAAAAAGAAATAGAGAGAATAAAGAACTATTTTCTATTATTTCGACTGATCAAAAGTCATCCCAAGAGGTACCGGAGTACCTCTATCTATATATATGTACTACAAACTCAAAGGTACATGAATTCTATTCATTCATACATTTAATACTTCAAGTATATGAATAGCTCTGAAACGGTTCATCCAATGTAACTCTTGAAATGGTTCATCCAATGAATCATGAATTAATTTTCTTGGGAATGCAAATGGACATCTATCTTTTTGTTTTATAACAATTTTCCTATTTTAATTGTATTTCATTTCCTTTTTAATTTAAAGTACTTGTAGCCTATAAATAGGCATCTTTAGGATTTTATCATTCAGACTTTGATAACATTATTGATTTTTTAACACAATTGTGTATTTGCTGGCTTTACCATGTTCTTTTTAGTGTGCTCTAGCATTTCGATTCTTATTTGAATTTTTTAATGGTTTGATCATGAATCAACCTTTGTTCTTTTTATAGATTTTATTTGTAAATCAAGTCCGTTTTCACGTTTACCACTACCGCATCAAAGGTACTTGATTAGCATTTTCTTCTTTTTCAGTGGAGGTCAAGCCTTAGGCCACGTTGATGACTGGTTACAAGGAAATTGAGACATTGCCTGCAAACTTCTTATCTCACCATCACTTGGTCAAATTCCATTTTTTAAAGCAGGATAAACGAGTCTAAATTACTGAACTTGTTGCTGCAACATGCCATTTGTAACAGCCCCACCTTCCCCTAAGGCGTACCAAAGGGGTTAGCGGACTGCTTGCCCAACTCTCGTCAGAACTACTAAGACAGACATACACAAGCTAAAACGTTTCGAAATATATTACAGCGCTTAAACAATTCGACGACCATGAATAACGAAAACGAAAACGAAAAAATGAAACTGAAAGTGAACAGTGAACAGTGACTGCCACGTCACAATCCGGCCATGGCCGGATTCCTAGCCAGATTGGAAGCAGTAGATGAATCCAAACGGATTCAAAATTCCCTGTCAATCCGGCCAGCTATCCGGCCAAGAACTTGTTGGATTTGTAGTCGGATTCTCCTGCAGAAATTTCAACCAGAAATTTTTTTCCTTCTTCGTTCAAATTCTGAACCTGTCCAAATCCCAAACGAGTACAAGTAACTTTATATGACTCTAGAGAATGAACATTCCCAAATCAAATATAACACATGAACATGATTAAACACTTTTATATACACTTTTATAAATTTACAAATCAAAAGGGAACATTGAATCAAGATACATTTAGGGTTTTCCAACTACCGAGGAGTTATACAAAAGAATATCTATACTAGCTTAACTCATTCTTCAAAACATCATATTTCCAAAAGATTGTACCCTGTAAGGAAAATAAAGTTAACGGAGTGAGTTTTCGTCCAATGGGGTACCATCACTCAAGTATTCAAGAATCACAAAAATACAATGATACTCAATCCAAATACATTCATCGAGTGAGTAGAAACGAACACCATACATCACCAGGGAGTAAAAGGATACGGACGGCTCTCAAGAGCCCTTTTCCTCTTTTGCCGTACTTGATCCCACCTCGTTGACTCTCCGTCAACGCTTAAAGAGTGACCATGACCGTAGACTCCACTTTACTCCGATTTTCGTCCATCATACTTACCCCTTACCGGACCCGAACACCAAACAAAACAGAGATGATAATACTTGAGTATATCCAAAGATTCCCAGAAACAGTCCCCATGGCTTGTCAATTTTCCTCGACCAAGCCTTGCCGGCCCAATTCAAATGACTACCTATGAGGTTGAACTCAGATTTAACAGTAAAGGTCCTTGGATACACGTCCAAACGACACCAGTTCAAGTACAACCAAGAAAATTTTCAAATGATACAGTAAACAGTCCAATAAGCAATAGAGAATGAGAGTGATAAAGTACACCCTCGTCTCATCTAGCATAACAGTAATCACAGGCATTCCAGTCACAGATTTCAAGTACGAATAAAGCCATGAAATAACAATCATGTGAGTGGTACACTCATCAATTCAAAGAAAACGAACTTTAAATGTTTCTTCCCGAGGTAAGCCTTGAGCCACCGGAACGTCCTACGAACAATCAAGAAAATAATAGGCGATCTCTCTCCTTGAGAGAACTTTCCCTCCAATGGTGAGAGCTCAAAATTTTTCAAGTCCCAAATGAACAAATCCAGGCTAAAAGCACAAAGAATCTACTCCACCAAAAGATCTCTCCTTGATAACCACAGCTTCTAGATCAGACATATTAATGGTACGGTAGTCAAAGTAGAAGCACCCATAGTGTCTTTAACACTAATTCCAAAAGTATCAGTAGTTGAAGTGGCATTGCAAGTACGTAGTGGAAGGGAATTACACAGGTGTTAGTGGGGGTCTACTTCACAGGCATAAAACCATCCATTTCAAGGTTTACATCCCTTTTTTACCTTCTTTTTTCCAGTTTTCCTTTATCTCTGTGTTTTAGTATTTGTTTCTATTGCTGTCCTCTGTTTCTGTTTCATCCAGGTAAGCCTTTACCTAGCTGAAGAAAGCATTTTTTCTGTTCATCTGCACTTGTTTTGGTTAGTCCTATTTCATTGTTGGAAAGGAGCTGGTATCCCCCTTTTAGCTCAAGCTATTACTATGGTGGAAGAACTGGCGGAGATTATGCAGAAATTTGCTCTAAACACCCAAGAGTGTACCATAACTGACTCGGAAGTGGGTGACTCTAGTATCAGTAGGCAGGAATGCGAGATTTGTCTTCTGGAGAAAATTCAGAGTGATAGAATAGTTAACTTCACTGGCCTAAAAAGCTTTGTCAGCACGGCTTGGGGCTTCCCAAGAGACTTGAAGGTCACAGAGCTAGGACCAAACTTGTACCAATTTGTAATTCCTGATGAGGATATCCGAGAGAGGGTGGTGAACGGTGGCCCTTGGATTCTGGACAACCAATTGTTAGTATTGTGTAAATGGTATGAAGGGATTGAAGATGACCCAGAGGCTTTTAAAATGGCACAATTGTGGGTGCAAATGTGGAACCTGCCGGTTCACTGTCTGTCAAAAGATGTTGGGAAGAAGATTGGTAAAACAGTGTTTAGGGGGGTAAATGAAGCTATTATCCCTCAAACATGTGGGAAGGAAGGTAGGCACTTGAAGGTGCATGTTGTGGCTGACATATCTAGGCCATTACCTAGGGGATCAACTGTTAAGATGAATGGTGTGATGAAATGGATTAAGTTCCGGTACGAGAGATGCCCAAACTTCTGCTATGCTTGTGGAATTATTGGCCACAGAGAGAAAGGATGTACATTAGGTGCCTCGGTAGGGAAAAGGCAACAAGAGATCCAGTATGGTCCTTGGATGAGGGTAAATTATGATAAAGGCTCCCCGCAAAAGGATAGTAACAAGTACAAACCCCCTTCCAATAGAGTACATTGGGGTGTGGAAAATGGAGAGCTGGTTCGTAAGGAGCCAAGTCAAGGAGGAGGGGATAAGCAAATCAAGGAAGAAGTGGGTACTGAGGAAGCTAGGGAGAGGAGTGTGGTGGCTGCCTTCAAAAAGGAGATTACTAAGTTTCTTCATTCCAAGAGGGAAGGGCCGGAACAGATTCCACCAATTGCCCCTAGCAAGACAGTAGAGAAGGATGACATACAAAGCAGTACAGCAATGATGGAATTAAGAAAAGAGGGAGCAGAAGGAAGTAATGAAAAGGACAAAAATCTGGTAGTGACTATGGAGGTAGAGAGTAGTGAGAGGAGTGGAGCTTTTGAATACCATAAGGAGGACTTGGAAATGATGGAACCACAGGCATCAGGGGATGTACAAATAATCACGGATTGCAACCAGATTATGGAGAAACAGAAGTGCATCAATGAGCTGTTACAGATTAGAACTTTTGATGAGAACATTGGAAGTAATCAACAAGGAATGGGACAGCCTCAAGAATTGAAGGTTAGAGGGTCTACAAGAACTCTACGAGGAAGAGGCAGGAGAGCATTAAAACAGATTGACAGGAACAGTATGGCTCAACTTGTGCTGAGTAAACGAAAGGTTTGTCTGACTGAGGAGGAACAACTAGAAGCTGATAATATGGGGCAGGGGTCAAAGAAGAACAAAAAGGATAGCCCGGGTAGGGGGAGCGAGACACAAGAAGAGGGGATGGGAACCAGCCTGATCTGGGTCCCCAACTACCAATGAGAGTGATGGTGTGGAATTGCCAAGGTGCTGGGAGCCCCTTGACAATTCTCCATCTGAAGGAGTATAAAAAACTCCTCTCCCCAAACATTTTGTTTCTAAGTGAGACAAAAAATAGATCAAAATACAAAAAATACTTAACTATGACTGCTGCTATGTGGTGGAAGCAATGAATAAGGCAGGGGGAATGACATTGTTTTGGGACTCAGATGTTAAAATTTTGCAAGTGCAGCACACTTCCTTCACTGTGGAAGCTAAGATTGAGGACCAGGAAAGTAAGTACATTTGGTGGCTGATTGGCATCTATGCAAACTGTAACGATGCTATAAGGAAAGAGCAATGAAGGGTAGTGAATAGGAGGAGACAACTATGGGAAAACAAATGGTTGATAGCTGGGGATTTCAACGATATCGCATCAAATTCAGAAAAGTGGGGAGAAAGATGTAGAGCTGAGTGGAGCTTCAATGACTTCAGGAACTTCTTAAGTACAAATCAGATGGTGGATCTGGGATTCGAAGGGCAGCCGTGGACATGGTGTAATAACTGGGGAAATGAAGGCGAAATCATGCAAAGGCTAGATAGACCCATGAGTAGTGCAGATTGGAACCTGGAGTTTGAGAGTGTGAAATGCTCTCACATTAAAACATATGCTTCAGATCATTGCGCCTTGATGATAGACACTAAGCCTACGGTTGTGAGGAAAAAAAGAAGGTTCTTTTTTGATAAAAGGTGGCTACAACATGAGAATATAGCTGAGGTCGTCAAAAAAGCTTGGAAGGAAAATATTGAAGGTTTTCGGATGTACCAAGTGCAATCAAAATTGAGGAACTATAGAGTAGCCTTACTTAAGTGGAGTAACGGCATTCACAAAAACTCCAAGGATAAGATAGATAACCTCAAAAAGCAATTGGACCAGACTAGAAAATCTGCTATGGACAACAAGAGAGAAAAGGTGGCCGGCCTAAAGACACAACTGATAGAGGCTTATAATGAGGAGGAAATCTATTGGAGTCAAAAGGCCAGGCTCAAATGGTTGCAAGAAGGAGACAGAAATACCCAATACTTCCATGCACAGGTAAATGGAAGAAGAAAACAAAACAGATTGCAAAGGCTCCAAAGGGAGGATGGTGGCTGGACTAAATCCGAAGAAGAAACTGGGAAAGTGATTGCTGACTACTACAGGAACCTCTTCGCCAAGTCTTCAGACAGTAATGCTCAAGAGGTACTAGAGGGGATCCCAACTACTATTACGGCAAAAATAAACAGGGAGTTAACCAAGGAAGTGACAGAAGAAGAGATCAAAAATGCTTTCTTCACTATGGATTGCAATAAAGCTCCTGGCTCCGATAGTATGACCCCTTTATTTTTCCAAAAATTTTGGAAAATTATCAAAGGAGACATGGTAAATGCTATTCAAAGTTTCTTCCATTCTGGTTTTATGCTTAAAGCTATTAATCATACTATCATTTCCCTTATTCCCAAAATTCCCTATCCTACAAACATTAAGCAATATAGACCTATTAGTCTTTGCAATGTCGTGTATAAAGCTATAACCAAAATCATTGTAAATAGACTAAAGCCTGTTCTCAATAACTGCATTAGCATCAATTAATCAGCCTTTATACCTGGGAGGCACATCATTGATAACATTATCATTTCCCATGAATATTTGCACTTTCTTAAGAATAAAAGACTTGGGAAGGATGGTTATATGGCTGTGAAGCTGGATATGTCGAAAGCCTACGATAGAGTTAAATGGGAATTTTTACAAGCTATTATGAGTAAAATGGCATTTTGTGAGAGGTGGATAAATTGGATTATGAATTGCATTAGAACAGTCTCATTTTCTTTCAATATAAATGGCGAATGCAAAGAGTATATCACACCACAACGAGGGATCAGACAGGGCAACCCTTTGTCACCTTACCTCTTCCTCATATGTTCTGAAGGCTTGTCTAACCTTTTAAAAAATGCAGCTCAAGAATGAAGGATAAGTTGAATCAAGATCAGTAGACGAGGCCCTTCAGTGACCCATCTTTTCTTTGCGGATGATTTGCTAATTTTTTGCAAGGCCTCATGTCAAGAAGCACAGGAACTGACAAAAATTCTGAGGAACTACGAACAAGCATCAGGACAAATGATAAACCTCGACAAGTCTAGCGCCTGCTTTAGCAAAAATGTCAACCAGGAATCTAGGGAGACAGTATGTAGCAAGCTGGAGGGAATTGAACAAGTAGCTCAAGGGAAATACTTGGGACTCCCAATAGTGGTCACCAGATCGAAGAAGCAATTGTTTGGATACATCAAGGAAAACATTGAACGTAGAATGCAAAACTGGAAATCCAAATTGCTAAGCTCGGCTGGGAAAGAAATCTTGATCAAAGCAGTCTCAATGGCCATGCCCACTTACACTATGTCTTGTTTCAAATTGCCTTGCAGGTTATGTAAAGATATCTGTTCACTTCTATCAAAATTCTGGTGGGGTGAGCAAGACAACAAAGACAAAATTCATTGGGTGGCTTGGGAGAAGTTGACCAAGAAGAAGAAGAATGGTGGCCTCGGGTTTAAGGATTTTCAAAGCTTTAATAGAGCCTTGCTAGCCAAACAGATTTGGAGAATCATAAGGAATCCAAATCTGTTGTCTAGCAAGGTGCTAAAGGCAAAGTATTTCCCTAACAGTTGCATCTAGGAGAGCAAAGCCCCAAAGAACGCATCATGGTTCTGGCAAAGTGTTATGAGCTGTAGAGAGGCTATGTGGAGGGGAGTAAGAAGACGCATAGGAAATGGAAAAAAAACCAGCATTTGGAACGATCAATGGATCCTAAGCAATGGCAAAGGGAAACCTGTTACGGCCAAATCACAAGGATGCAAACTTGACAAAGTTGCTGACTTGATCAGTAACTTCAGGTGGAATAGACCTCTCATTTTCAAGACGTTTTGTAAGGAGGATGCAGATAATATTTTGAAAATCCCAATCAGCATCACGGGAAGAGATGATAACACCTTCTGGACAAGGAACATAAATGGGGAGTACACGGTGCAGTCTGGATACAAAATGGAAATGGAAAGAAAGGAGGAAGTGATTAGGAAAGAAGGTGAGGGAGTGGAAATGAGTTTTAACTCAGTGAGCCAGCAAGTGTGGAAGGTTCTGTGGAGCTTAAACATTAGCCACAAAGTTAAGATGTTTATTTGGAAAGGTCTCTCGGATGCGGTACCAGTCAAGGAGCTAATATGGAGGAGAATCAAAAGGGGAGATCCAATATGTTCTATATGCGGTGAAGAGGTGGAAACACTGGAACACATGCTACTTAAATGCAGCAAAGTACAGGACATTTGGAAATTGGCTCCTATCCATTGGGATGGTATTGCATACAGAGCGGATAAATTCAAAGACTGGTGGGCAGGAGTTTCTGAAGCTAGATGTAGGATACAAGGGAAAGATCATATAGGCCTTACGGCATATATATATTGTGGCAGATCTGGAAAAGTAGGAACAACAAGGTTTTCAACAACAAAGACAGGGACCTAGCTGCAATTATAAACAAAGCATGCAGAGCTTGGGGGGAATTTGAAAATGCAGCAGGGAAAGCTAGGCGTTGGAGCGATGGGAAGATAGCAGTAGCTCAACAACAAAGGGACCAAGAAGAAGAGCAGCCAGAGCATGCCACAGGTGTAGGAACAACACTGAGAATAGCAGTGCAATGGAGTAAAGAGGACAATATCGTTGGGTATGGCATTGTAGCGTATGATGGAATACAACAGGAAATATTGGCTTGGGGGATGAAAGAAAGGGCAGTGGATAGCCAACTTCAACATCTGGCTGAAGGTGTCAAGCTAGCCCAAATTAAGGCAGCCGAACAAGGTTGGCGTTTGATTAACATAGGTGTTCCTGACAAAAATTTGCTACAACAAATCCAGCAGACAAAACCACTGGCAGAAAGAATTGTAACCGTGGTGTAAGATATCCGTGAGCTGAGCTCCATGTTTTACAAGTGCTCCTTCTACTTAAACATAGGCAACACTAATGATCTTAGTTTTGATGCGAATATAAAGACCAAGGCCCATTCAAGCACATGGGGAATTGGAAGTTTCAAGTGAAGACTAGTTGATTGCACGAATACTTGAGTTTAGTAGGATTATTTGATTTTCCTCATTGATTTTGGTTATTTCTCGCTTTAGAAAGTCTAGGTAATTAAGCTAGTTTAATTACGGCCCATTTGTTAGTAAGTGAGGCCCAAAATCTTCCTTAAGTATGTAGGGTAGTTTGGTCAATTTTTGGATTAGGGTTAATGCTTGTAAGGGCTATAAATAGCCCCACTTCCTCTTTATTTTGGGATCAGTTTTGGCTATTAAATACAATTAGTGAGTTTTCACTTTCTCTTTGGCAAGAGAGTTTCCTTTGAATACTTGAGAATCTTCTCAAGTTATTCACCCGAACTTATCAATCGAGTATCTCCTTGATTGTGGCGTTCTACTACCTCCAATTTGGTTCGTTAATTCGAGTAGTTACGGGTTGAGATAATATCAAAATTGTTCGTGACTTCTAGGGATTAGTTGGGTCAAATTTCCGCTGCCTAAGCCATGGTGTTTTGGTTGTCTAGATCGGGGTTTCACATCAAGTTTCCAGTTTAGTGCTCAAGCTTTGAGCAGTCATCAAGATATAGAATGGGTTAATCCCAATCTAATGTGCTAGATGCACAATGAATGTATCGAGCCTTTGCTCGAGTGTAAATATCTTTTGTTCAAGTAATATATATTCCTATCGTTTCGAAAAAAAAAAAGATTACAAGTCAATTACTCATTCAATAAACTATCAATGCAAGGTAAAATAGAACTCGGGAGTGAAAATAGGGGACAATTGGTGCCAATGGTATGAACAACCCCAACACTTTTCATCTCTACTCACAATCATCCCAACTCAAAGGAATCACATGGACTTAAAATTTGGACAACATTTCCTTTAGATTTTCCTTACTTTTCCACCTTTCAATCAAACACCAACCTCAACTCAAATCACCCACAATTTCACACACACCATATAAGTTATATACCACACCTAATTAGAGTCACAATACCCTTCAATCTTAACCAATTAAAAGCTCAAAAGCCAACCATAAAAAAGCCCCAAATCCCAAACCCTAAACTAAAATTTAGCTACACAAGCTAAAATTTTCCCTAGGAAATCACATCTAGCATATACAAGGTTCATTTCACACACAACAAAGCTATCAATCCATGGCATATCCTTAAGCATTAAATAAGGACAGAAATTCCACCAAAAATTTGAAATTTACCATAATTCTACCTTAAAACATGAACTTTCTCACAAAACTACCTATTTAACAACTCTAATCCACTAATGAACTATTAATTTAAGTAAAGAGGAAGTTCTTAACAAGATTGCCTTAAAATCCCAAGAAAAATTGGTAGCTTAGTGCTTCCCTTTCCAAAACAACTCCACCAACCTCTTTAATCCTTCCTGGGAAGGAGTTTTTATGGAGTGATTTGAGATGTTAATGATTGGAACTCAAGATTTGGGCTTGGATTTGAAGAAACAAGATGAAGTTTTCCTCTCTTTTTCTCTCCTCAATGGCCAGCCAAGGTGAAGAAAATGAAGATGATTTTTGGGTCAAATTTAATATTTAGTAAAGTTGGAAGAAAGTGGTCAAAGTCTAACATCCAATCATGTCGCGACACCTAGCAACTTTAATGTTTAATCTCATCCTCTTGTCTCCCAACACTAATTAATCTAGCTAACCTCCACTTATCTCCTAACACTGTATACAGTAATATTCCTTTACGCAAAACTCCATCTAATCATCAAAATTTATCGCACTTTACGCATTAGCGGGTCCCACGTCTCATAAGTACCACTAATGTCACCTAAACTAATTTGTACTAGAAAAATGATTTAAAACCTATACTCACCTATAAAAATATCTAAGAAATCAGTCTAATAAATAAAAATATAGAAAATATGTGCAAAGAATTAAAATAATGACTAGAAAATTAGAAACTTTTCGGGTTCTCACACTCTCTCCCCCTTAAAAGAATTTCGTTCTCGAAATTTCTCACCTTGATTATCAAATAGCTCAAGGTATTTCTTTTGCATCTCTTCCTCCACTTCCCAAGTCGCTTCTTCTACTCCTTGGTTTCTCCATAAGATCTTCACCAATAGTATTTGCTTGTTTTTCAGTTCCTTAATCTTCCGATCAAGTAACTGCACTGGTTTCTCTTCATAAGTGAGTGACTCATCGATTTCAATTTCTTCTGGTAGTAAGATGTGAGTCGGATCAGGATGATATTTCTTGAGCATCGAGATGTGGAAGACATCGTGAATTCTAGACAAGCTTGCGGGTAGTTCGAATCGATACGCCACTGATGCGAACCCGAATCCCCAAGCTCCCACTCTTGAAGAAACGAATTGTAAAAGGCAGCGGAAGGATCTATCTTGATCAGGCTATGGACAAAATTGGTGGATTCTAAACCAATCAAGGACAACTCAAGATTGATTAGAATGGTAAAAGGCGCCACAATTCAACATGGTCTTGAATTGATAAGCCGGTTTGAATCCTCGAGACCAACTCTAAGGTATTCAAAGTCGCTTCAAAGAAGCCAAGAGAAAACTCTCAATTTTTAATTCATAAAATGTCTACCCTTATTAATGACAATTGATGCCTATTTATAGGCTTACAAGACTCAACTCCTAACCTAATTAGAATAAGGAAACTAACAAGGCTTTGCAAACAACTTGGAAATCCACGACCCTTATCTCTTAAGGCTGCCGAATACCTAAACTAGCTAATGGATCTACTAACTAATCAAGAATCACATGAATAACAAACTAATGACCAAATTAATCCTATACTCAACATGAGCTAATCACACGACTCATGAACAAGTCATAAAATCAGCTACTTAACCAACTAATGACTTGAGCAATTAAAGATGCAAAGTAGTAAACTAATAGACTTGAACTCGGTTCTCTCAAGGAATTTGAACATTGGATTCGCAACATGAATTTCTTGTTTTTGACTCTATTCATTGGCCCTCAATGAATCTTTGTTGGATCTAGAAATAGGGTTTGAACACCTCCTAGGATTCGTATCAGCCACCTTTCCAATTCTTTGGAGGATTTTGAAGGTGTCTACGAATCTCGGTTGAAGTTTCTTTCCTTTTTTCCGCTGTGACACTTCATAATGGCGTAATCTTAAGTAAGACACGATCTCCAATTTCGAACTCCAAGTCCTTCCTTCGGTTGTCCGCGTAGCTCTTTTGTCGGCTCTGAACTGTTTGAAGTCTTTGACGTATTAACTTAACCTTTTCTTGTGCATCCTCCATCCAAGGAATGGTTGTTGGATCTAGGATTCTCTTTTCTCCCACTTCATTCCAATAAATCAGTGATCGGCACTTCTTCCCGTAAAGAGTTTCGTACGGTGCCATTTGAATTGACGAATGGTAACTATTGTTGTATGCGAACTCCACTAACGTCATATGTTGGCCCCAACTACCCCCAAAATCTAAAATGCAAGTCTGTAACATATCTTCAAGGGTTTGAATGGTTCGCTCCGACTGTCAATTCGTCTGTGGGTGATAAGTGGTACTAAGGTTAAGTTTGGTCCCCAAGGTTTCTTGAAATTTTTGTCTAAACTTAGACACAAAACGAGGGTCTCTATCCGAAACTATACTTACTGGGACTCCGTGTAGTCTCACAATCTCATCCACATATAATTGAATCAATTTATCCATGAAATACTTCATGTTCACTGGCAAGAAATGGGCCGATTTGATTAATCGATCGACGATCACCCAAACAGTATCATGTTCTCGTTGTGTTCGTGGCAAACCTGAAACGATATTCATCGTAATATTTTTCCACTTCCATTCGGGTATCTCAAGGAGTTGTAACAATCCAGATGATTTTTGATGTTCAGCCTTAACTTGTTGACAGATGAGACAATTTCGTACGTATTGGGCAATTTTCTTCTTCATGTTGTCCCACCAATAGGCCCCTTTTAAATCCTGATACATCTTACTACTACCCGAATTGATCGTATACTTTGACCGATGAGCTTCCTCTAAGATTTCCTCCTTCAAAGTTTCATCTTTGGGCACCACTACTCGGTTCCGATACTTCAAAATTCCCTAGGAATTAAGATTGAAATCAGACGTTTCTCCCTTTTTCGCCTTCTTTCCCCACTTCCGTACCATCGAGTCTTCCTTCTGGGCCCCTTTAATTCGCTCCAGTAAATTGCTTTTTGATTGCCAAGACAAGGGTTCCATTCACTAATCAATTTTAACAGGTTCCATTCCTTAATCATTAACCCCGTCACTTGAGCCTTTCGACTTAAGGCATCGGCCATCACGTTAGCCTTTTTCGGATGGTAGTTGATGGTGCAGTCATAGTCCTTCAGAAATTTCATCCATTGCTGCTGTCTCATGTTCAATTCCTTTTGCGAGAAGAGGTATCTAAGGCTCTTATGGTCAGAGTAAATCTCGAAAGTTACCCCGTATAGATAGTGTCTCCACTTTTTCAGAGCAAAGACAACTGCAGTTAGCTCCAGGTCATGGGTTGGATAGTTCTGCTCGTGAGGTTTCAATTTTCTAGAGGCAAAAGATATCACATTCTTGTTTTGCATCAACACACACCTCAAACCTTCCCTCGAAGCATCCGTGTAAACAGTGAAACTATCTTTTCCGTTAAACAAAGTTAGAATTGGTGCCATGGTTAATCTTTTTTTCAGTTCTTGAAAACTAACTTCACACCTAGCATCCCACACAAAACAATCATTTTTCTTTGTCAAATCAGTTAAAGGACCGGCAAGCTTGAAAAAATCCTTAATAAAACGCCTATAGTACCCAGCCAACTCTAAAAAGTTTCGAATCTCTGTGGGATTTTCTGGCCTCTTCCAATCAGTCACGGCCTCTACTTTCGCTGGGTCGACAGAGATGCCCTCTTG